AGAACCGCTTCTCTGACGATTTTAGCCAACACCGTGCACAGACTAGCGGGATAGGCGGCGGCCAACGCAGTGTATTTACAGCCCTCTGGGGCCTGGCCCGTGAGAATGGTATGCCGATTTCCAGTGCGAGAGCAGAGACCCCGGCGGCCCTTACAGAGCCGGTGCAGGTCGGTAAGAGGGCCCGTCCTCCAGGCCGCGATCCTGGTCCTTTTCTGCCAGGGTCTTCCGAATTGGCACTGATCAAAATCACACACACGAGCACACTGGGAAATGATGAGGGACGAAAGAAGCTTTGCATGCCACATTAAAGAACTGGCAGGGTTCTCGAGCAGCACAGGTATGTTTAACTTACAGCATAAGCGTATGATGCGGCATGTGAAGTAAAACGAGGCGTTGCCTGTAGTCAGGCGGGCGATCTCAGATGTCGAAAGGCCGCTGATGCCCATCGGATGGGCGCGCGACCTCAGAGCCTTCCGGAGCGCACGAGACCACGTCGTGCAGGGCGTACCGAGGAAGACGGCTGCCACGGCGCGGCTGCGGAGCCAGCCGGTCACCACCCGCTCGAAGTCGCGGCGGCAGTGGTCCTCCAGCGGCGACAGCCGAAAGTCCAGGCCGAGCGCCGACAGGCCCAGGCGGCGGGCGGCGGCAGAGAAGTGGCCACTGCCGCAGAACAGCTCCAGCACCACCCGACGCCGGCACAGCGAGCCGCGGCTGACCGCAGCCTTGAAGCGGCGCCGCAGGTGGTCGGCGCATTCGGAGCCGCCCGGCCGCGGCCGAAGACGCCCCGAGCCGGCGGCAGCGCTGGCGCCGGCAGGGCTGGCCGCGCTCAGCTGCGGCTGGCAGGCCGCCGCCTCACACGCCTGGGCTGCGATGGCCCGCCCATGAGCGCCTCCAGCAGGCTGGCCGGAATGAGCCGCTGCAGCCCCGCGCCTGCGAAGCCCTTCTCGATCAGCAGCGCGAAGCTCTGCGCGACCAGGTCGCCGAATGCGTACACGTCCGGATGCACGCCCTGCAGCTCGCGCAAGAGGGCCGTCTCCTTCGCGTACCTCCGCATCGAGGATGGCACAGCCCAGCGGCCTCGCCGGTAGACCTGCTCTTGCGACCTCCGCTGGGACAGGAGGTCGTCGCTCACTCCTCCGTGCCTCATCCCGTACAGGTGGGGACGCAGATGGGAGAGCCCCAGCGCCGCCGCCGCCAGCATGAACATCCTGTTCAGGTCCCCGAGGGAGAAGCTCCACAGCGGCGTGCCCGGGCCCCCCCGACAGCGGAGCGCCATGAGCACCGGCACCAAGTACAGGTCGAGGTCGAAGAGGATCGACTCGTCGAAGGCACCCGTCTTGCCCGCCTGCCCGCGGTCTGCGGGGTGGAGGAGCAGGCCCCAGAACTGGTAAGCTGGCCCCGCTGACGCCGAGGGCTCCACAATGCTGTCCGTGGTCAGCCGCTGAGCCTCGGCAGGCCTGAGGTATGCCGAGAACGCAATCGCCAGCCACGCCGCCATGGGCGCCTGCTGCCAGGCGATCAGGACGCCCGCCAGCGCGAACATGACCGCCCTCGGGATGGGCAACCGCGTGAGGGTCGGGGCCCGCCTCCGCCACGCCTGCATCGCGCGTGAGGCGCGGGGCAAGAGCGAACCCACCCGCCTGGGGAGCCCCGGCGTGAAGTGCGCCAGCGCCGCCACCGTCTGTGATCCGACGCTCGCCGCCGCCCCCGAGATGTAACGAGAGGTGAAGTACTCGGCGAGCAGGCGGTCCAGCTCGCGCAGGTTGCTCCAGTCCCGGCGGTGGTCGTAGCAGTACGTGATGAACGTCTGCAGGAGCTTGCGGTACAGGGTCTCCGTGTTCGGCCTCACGGCCAGCTGCTCCAAGAGCGTCAGGGCGCCCACCAGCGGCCGCCCGCGCGCCGCCTCCGCCGCCAGCTGGGCGCGCCGGCGAGTCCGGGCTGAAGGCGTAGGGGCCCTCTGCCTCGGCATGGCCTGCGCCTCGCGCGCCAGGAGCCCGAACAGAAGGCAGAGCGCCGCGACGACCAAGGCGGGTCCTCGCATGGCCAAGGTGTCGATGGCCGGTGAACCAGCCGAGCTTGCCTCTACTGAGGCCGTCCGCTGGGTTACGCTCCGAGGCGATCCAGCGGACGAACAACTTCGAGCCGGTGGCCAAGGACAACGCACACAGCTGGTTCAGGCACGACCTCAAGTGTTTTGACCGAGCCCTTCCTTTTGCACAGGCGAGGGCTAAGGGGAGGTTGTCCACGAGGGCGACCATGCGAGCCCCATGAGCGCCCAGACCTCGGAGGAGATGCCGATAGGACGTGACCAGAGCCTCCCCCTCCAGGTACAATATGTTGGCCCCCGTGGAGACCGACTGCGCCGAGACTGACTTCCAGGCATCCATGCGGGTAAAGTGCCCAGGAACCTCCTCCATGTCCCAAGAGTCGCCCACGACGTAAGAGGCATCAGCACGCGTGAGGCTGTTGTCTACCATGAACTCCACGTGGGGGTCCCCGTGCTGGCCCTTGGAGATGAAGGGGTCCTCGTGCAGGCCCACGTGCTCCTTGTAGGGGTCCCCGTACTGGCCCATGAGCTCCTCGTAGGGGTCCCCCTGCAGGCCCGGAGAGGTACACGTAGCTCCCGAGACACACGACGGCGCCGGACATGCTTGACCGCCCGCAGGGCTGACATGATGAACCCCGAGCTGTGAAGGGTCGATTGGAGAGTGAGGCCGAGAGGGGTCGACGTTTTCTGACTCAACGCTGGGACGCTCCAAGCCGCCCTCTCGCAGTGACCGGAGCCGAGCCTGGTGCCCGCCCTCGACCTTGAATCGCCACTTCTCCGAGCAACGGCCGACGGCGGCGCAGACGGCGCGAGGCGCGCGTCTCCGCATCACCCCAAGTCCGAAGGGCGATGCGTCGCTAGCCGTCAACGTGGGGTGCCACGCGGACGCGAGGTCGCCGGACAAGACGGGCAGGAGGTCACGGATGATGGTTAACTCCTTCGCCGCCGACGCCCAGATCCTGCCCTGCCTCTCGCCGTACGCCGCCACGAAGCCGTAGACGCTATGGAGCACAGTGAGGACCTCTCGGCGAATCATGGACGACCATGTCACATGGCCCAGAACTGCTCGCATCATGTGGCCGCTGCACCAGCCACGCTTCAGAAGCCCAGTGATTGCCGAGTGCAGCCGCCAGATGTTCCGCGGCTTGATCCGGAGGTACCTCCCGTGCTTCAAGCTGAGGCCCAAGAAGTCCAGGTCCTTTGCGGCGGGCTCGATCTCATGGACAGGAAGCCCTCGGGCGCGGAAGGCGGCCACCAGCCGTGTCATAGCCTGGTCGACCGCGCCCTTCTCAGCACCGAACGCCAGGATGTTGTCGACGTAAGCCCCGACGCCGACGGAGACCGGGTCGGTGACTACAACACCAGCTTGACCGTCCATGGCTGTCATGGTCCTCTTATGGCCCTCATCAGCAAGGACTGAGCGCGCAGCCGACTGGCAGAAGTGCAACGCCCACGAGAAGCCCATTGGGAGGACGGTCACCATGGGCGTCACGCGCGAGAGAGGATCGAAGTCAAGGTCGATCATGCCGAGCTCTTGCAGCACGGCGACCGAGATCGACGGCAAGGTGAACAGCGTCTCCATCCCGCGCGGCAGCCGCATGTGGTAGAAGGCGCACTCCAGGTCGCACGTGGAGAGGTACATGCCGTCCGCCGGGGCTTCGATAGCGCCGAAGGACGCTGCAGAAGGAAGCCTCGTGGCCGGCGGATCCAAAAACTTGCAGTTGGCGGCCCTCGTGTCGAAAATTATCCGGAGGGCCCCCGACTTCTTGGGCACAAAGAAGAGGCCGACGGTGTGCGGCTGACCGCTGTCGGCCGCGAAGGTGACCATCTGCCTCCGGTGCATCTCCATCAAAAACTGGCCGTAGGCAGTCGCGTCCCGGAACAGGTTCGGGTCGCAGTACGGCCCGCGTGGGCAGGCCGAACGTGCCAAGGCCTCGGCGGACTGCCGATCTCGAAGCATATGGCTCTGCCATCCCTCCAGCCAGGCCTTGTCATGGGGCTGCACAAGCCCGACGAGATCGACGGGCGCAGCACCTTCAGCGGGCCATGCGACTCGGTCGCGGACGTAGGGGGACGACGAGGCGGCGCCCGAACCGTACAGGTTGGCGCAGGAGAGGAGCTCCCGAAGGGCCCCGTCTTGACCAGCACGCGTGTCACTGAACTCGGACGGCGGCGCGCCCAGCTCCTTGACGCAACTGTCGATATGCATGATGGCCTGGCGCTGCCCCTCGTGCGCTGCAGATGGAGGCGAGGACCGAGAGCCATAAAGTGAATTGAGTGCATTGGTGGCCGCTCGAACGCGATCATCATGATGAGTGCGAAGGCCGCGCCGACGAGCAGCGCGACGACCGCCAGGCTCCACCCCGCGCGGAGCAGCGGCCGGCACGACCGGCAGCGGGAAGACGTCGCGCTGGCGGCGTGTCCCCGGCGGCCGGGGGCCTGCGGCGAGAGCCGCACAGCAGTCCCGAGGGGAGGCTGGCCCATCTGCCCCCCCTCGGCTCGTCTCAGGCATCGGCGCCTGGGGTATTGCCGCCCCCACGGCCCCGTCGCCCACGGCCTCGGCCGCCGCGGCCACGGCCTCCGCGCCCCTCGGCGCCGCCAGAGCCAGCCGCGCCGGTCCCGGCGGCCAAGGCACGCTCCTCGCGAGCCTTGCGCCGCTCCTTGGCAATCGCCGCCTCGCGCGACTTCTCGGCGGCCAGCCAGTCGCGCAGCGCCGGGGCCATGCAGATGCCGCTGCCTGCGTCCTGGACGCCGGACAGCAGCGCAGCGTCGTTCCCGTGCTCGGACGTGGGTGCGAACCTGTCGCGGTACAGCTCCTCCTGGGTCTGCAGCGTGCGGCCGACCAGTTCCATAGAAGCTAGATTGGTCGCATGAGTCTGATCATACACGACTCCGAACTCCAACAGCCTGCAGCACAGCAGGTGCACGTCCACCCCCGGGTCCTCGTCGTCCAGGTAGGCCTCGGCCTTCCACTTGGTGTGGCGACCGAGGGGTGTGCCACCGTTCCGGCATATGTAGTTCAGCACCCACAACAGCGTTCTGGGGCCCTTGAGCGGCCAGTCATGCCAAGGTAACTCGTGCATCCTCGTTACGGCCGACCTGAAGTCGACGTAGCGGACCCCTTGGGAGTCCAAGACGATGGCCTGCATCCGCGCGTCGCCGCCAGGGGCAGCCGCCACCGCGGCGAAAGCATTCGCCAGGGCGCCTGCCCCTAAGTCAGGCAATCCGGGCGCAACGGCCGCGGCAGCGGGCGCGGCGGCCGCGGGTGCGGGGACGCCCACGAGCCCAGCGGCCAACGGAGCGCCAGCCGCGGGAGCTGCGGCCACAAAGCCGCCTCCCAGCGCGGGCCCAGCGGGCGCTGCGGCCGGCACGAGCGCGCCCGCCGCTGCCCCAGGGACCGGGGCTCCGACCGCAGCGGGCGCACCAAGGGCCGCCGCGAGGCCCGCCACGCCGCCAGCGGCAGGGCCGCCCGCGGCGGCAGGGGCGCCAGCGGCAGCAGGCGCGGGGGCCGGCGGCGCGATGACCCGGCCCACGGTGTTCAGGGCCACGGCCGGACCCGGAGCGAGCCCGAGAGTGCCCCGGGTGGCGGTGGCCGCGGCCGCGACGGCCGCCGGCAGAGGCAGAGCGCGGAACCGGTAGACCTGATCCCCGCCCGTCGCCGCCGAGTTGCCTCCAGCGGCGCCTCCAGCCGGGATGCAGAACTCTGCCACGTCCGCGCCTCCATTCGCGATGACCTCGACGTAGCCGTGGCCGTCCGGGGTCAGGATCCCGCATCCGAACGGCGCGACGGGCTGGAAGGCCAGGATGAGGCGCTCATGCCAGATCCTCGCCCCCCCGACCTGGTATCTGATCAAGATGAAATCTCCCTCGTCCAGGCCGAGGAGGGCGAGGGGATGGCCCGCTGCCGCGGCGGCCGCCGCCGACATGGCCTCACTGGACCTGCAGCCGCCCGCGAACCAGAGCAGCCTGGGCCCGGGCCTCCTCCTCGAACTGGTCGATCGCCGCCAGAGCCCGCGCCGGAGCAGGCGGAGCGAACCAGCGGCCCAGCAGCGCGCCTGCGGCCAGGCCCAGCACCGCGGCCAGCACGACGGCTGACAGCGGCCAGGTCCCCACCTGAGGTGGGCAGTCCTGTCTGTGAGGTTCCAGCCCGCTGCCGCACACCAGCGAGGGCTTGCAGGTGCACGGAGGACACTCGGGCTTCGCAGCCCAGATCGCCAGGCTCGTGGTGGCGGCGCGGACCGCTTCGGTCGAGAGCCACTCGCTGAAGCTCATCGAGCGACCTTCCTCAATGCACTTGAGCACATATGTCAGCGGAAAACCGAGAGGATTTGAACTGACATATCGAACGTGCGGCACTCTCACACAGGGCTCTGCATCACGTTGTTAAAACTGTCCATATATATATATATGTATGTATGTATACATGTATATATAATTGTTTTTAAACAAAAATATCTCTCCCCCAGGGCTCTGGCCTATCCCGCCGGCCACCCAGGGACCTTAAGAGGTGGTTGCAAGATTTTCATGCTCCAGACGGCCAAAGATGGCCTCCAAGACGGTTGCGGTGGCCTCAAGTTCACTCAAGATGGTCCAAGGTGACGTCCAAGACTGCCAAAGAAAATCCAGGACGCCTCCAAGTTCAGCCAGGAAGCCTCAAAGACGGTCGAAGACGGCCCCCGAGAAGCCTCCAAGACGGCCCACGAGGCGTCCAACAGGTTCTTCAGGACCCGAAAAGGCTAAAATCATTGACTCGCCTTTAACATTCGAAAGATCTTGGGACTTGCTCCTTCTGCCTTCCGACGGCCCAAGACGCCCCCCCCCCGGAGCGCTTAAGGGGCCCCCAAGATGGCCTTAGGACTTCCCAAGAGGTCTCCATGACGGCCCCACGAGGGCCCAAAGACGGCCCAAGAGGCTTCTAAGACGCCCAGGGAAGCCTCCAAGATGGCCCTGGAACGCTCCGAGGAGGGCGCCAAAACGGCCCAGAGAGGCCCCCCAAACGGCTCCCGACGGCGTCAGGCGGGCCAGGAAGCCACCCGGACGGCCGAAGATGGCCATAAGATGGCCCAAGACGGCAGGGTCTCCAGGATGGCCCGAAGTGGCCAAAATCATGCTGAGTCTTCTTCTTCAGCGGCGAAGTCTGATACCTCACGGCCGCGACCAGGGGTTCGAGGCATGCAGCGGCAGGGCTCGTCGCCCACACGAATGGAAAAAAAAGGAAAGGGGCCCAGGAAGAAGCGCGCACCATGCGAGCAGGTCCAGGGCGACGGTGGGCGGGAAAGCATGAGCCCCAGCAGCGTCGGGATAGGACTGCTGCTGGGCGGCAATAAAGCAAAGCAGCCGGAGCAAACTCGCGCAACGCACATTCATGCTCAGTCCTCTTTTTCAGCGTTGAAGTCTGATACCTCATGGTCGCGACCAGGGGGTTCGAGGCATGCAACGGCAGGGCTCGTCGTCGACGTGTTCGCAAGGCCGAAGTTCCCAGCGCAGCGGTCCAGGCGATTTTACGGGGGCGGAAAAGGCGCCAATCTGGGAAGCACGGAATACATACTCTCTCATCACAGGTTCAACAACGGTTTGCAAAGCCACAGTGACATTCGAGAGGGATATTTAGCAGCCCGCGCAGTCATCGTCTTTCTTGCCTACGCCCAAGCCTGAAGGGGCGAGAACCGTGCTTCGCCCGACATTTCCAGCGGGCCCTGGCGCAGGGCCGCCAGGTTTCCAGAGTCGGTCACACAGCCAAAAACAATTAAGGTCGCTGTCCTCCATCTTGCTCCAAAGGAACACGGATGCACATCCTTCGCGCGACAATGAGGCAACGCGTAAGATGCCAAATCTCGGCATCGCCACATGCGCGAGGTTTGAGGGGTTCCCCGAAGCCAAAGGCACCCCGTACTTGCGACGCAGTCTCGCAATGTACACAGCCACCCACGTGCACTGATTTCCAACGTGCGCCGCCTCTCTGTCTCTGGCCCGCAACGACGGGAGCCCCAGGGATTGAGCGGCACCCCTGACCGGATAGCGGTTCCGAGCCAGCGAAAAAAGATGAGCAGGGAGGCGCCGACATCGCCGCTCTCGCCAGACCAAGTCTAAAGTACCGCTCAGTCGTTGAAACTGAAAGAGCCGCACGCATCTCGGCTCGGCCCTCTCCCCAGGTCAGGACAGACGGCATCGCGCCGCAACTTCCTCGCGCAGCCGCCTGCCCCGCCTGGGCCAGAACAAGCGCCCAGCAGATATGGGGTCTTTTGCCGCAACGCGCCACGACTCGCAGGCCCCCGCGAGAGCCCTCTCGGCGGACGAGAAGCGGCGCCAGCGCGGGGCGGCCCAATAATCTCACGTCCTGCGGCTGCCTCGCGGCCCTCCACAACGAGTGTTTGTCGCCTCCCGGAGATGTTCCCAACTCTCGTTCGTGCCCCCTGACTTCCCGCATCTCCATGCCGACGTCAGCGCGGCCCACCTCCCCCACTGCGAATGGCTCAAGCCCAGGAGGGGCCCGGGGGAACCTCTGTCCTTCATCGCGCGGAGCGAGTCTATCACTGTCGCTTCTGGAAACAGCCATGCGACCCAGCTCTGAACAGCGTGTTCGGACGGAGCCAGCGTGGCGCTGCTGGTCAAACCCAGCACCTCCCCAAGAAAAAAAGCAAACACTCCACCATGATCAACGCCGTCGCTCCTGACATCGGCCCTCCGAGGCGGCATGGCCCCGCAATCGCAGCAGCCCAGGCCGCGAACACCAAGGGCTTCCGAGAACAAGATGGCGACAGCCTCTCCCTTCTCGCAGCGATCGGAGCAGGCGCAGCCCGCTCGGGCGGCCGTAGTCTGGGCGGAAACTTATCCGCCCAGCGCGCAACTTCTCCCCGCGCCGGGCCATGACCCCCTTCGGGAACTCGCCGACCACCCAGCCCGCAGGGCTCGTATCCAGCCTGGGCGGCGCTAGCAGCGCATCCAGCGAGCAACGGGCCCAGTCGCAAGATGCGAGCGCGCGCTGGCGGTGGGTCTCGAGCGTGGCTGTGGCGCCCTCCACAACGTCGAGCGCCTTCCTGACTCGGGCCTTGCCCGGGGTCGCGAAACGCTGCCGGCAGCTGGCAGCGGCGGCGGGCTCCTCCACGACGCTGCCGTCCGCGCTCTGGCTCTCTGCCACGTCCGCGTCGGCCTCTCGGCCTCTGGCGCCCGCGGTGACAGCCGGAGCCACGCGGCGATCCGCGCCCGGGAATCTCTCCGCCGCTGCCACATGCGGAACCGTCGCCGACCTCGGGGCCGCAAGCTCAGCGGAAAACCCACGACTGCGATCCAGCCCCGCGCCTTCCGAGTCGGCGGCGCCTCCGCCGCCTCTCGCCGCTATGCCGCGGCGCTCAGCGCCCGCGCGCGACGCCTGCCTGGCTTGCGTGGCGCCGTGGACAGGGGCGTCGCAGACCTGCCCAGCGCCCGCTGCCGCCCGCCCCCACGCCGCGCTGGCGACCGCGACCGCCAAGGGGGCGCGGACAAGGCTGGGATCAACCTGGGGCGAAAGCGTTGTTGAGCCAAGATGGGATGCGATGGTCTTGCTGCTGTTGCGCCCAAGATCAAGTCTCCGCCTTCCTTCATCTCCAGAACTGACCTCGCTTGGAACCCATCGAACAACGAACCTGCTATCTCTAGCTAGGCGCGAGAATTCGAGCAGCCGACGGACCTGAATGAGAAGTCGAAGGGCCCCTGAACCTGAAGCGGCAAAAACAAAGCACGACTGAGAGGTTGTCACCATGCAATAGGACGCGGCATTCTTCTACTGGCTGACTGCGCGCCGCACGTGACGCAGCCTTCACGAGCGCCCGTGCCTCAAGTCTAAGGGTATCGTCCTCAAACGCCCATCGGTCCGCCATCACCGTGGTCCAATGGGAGTCACGCAAAAACTGGCTGGACACCTCGGGGAAGTCTGGGTCTGCATCCCGACGCTCGCTGCCCAGCACTTGCCGCAGCTGGGCGTCGAGTTGGCGCGGCGCCCCGCCAGCGCCCCTGACCACCTGGCCCGTCTCGCTGTCCAGCGAGAACCCAGCGCGCTCGAAGGCATGCTGGCGCTCGTGCGTCCAATCCGGGCCCTCACCGTGCTGCACCTGCTCGCGTAGACCAGGCGCGGCATCGACCCGCGTCACCACGCCACGTGGATGCGCGCCTCGCCGATGGGCTCGAGCGCGAGCTTGGCCGAGCTCCGCCGCGAGGCTAGCTCACAGCCGGCGCCACAGGCCACCGCCGCCGCTGCCGCTGCACTGGCGCCGACCAACGCCACGGGCAGCTCGACAGCGGCCGCGAGCCCCTCCCTGGCCACCCGCAGCGGCTGCGGGCTGGCCTCCTCTGGCGCCAGCGGCGCCGGGCAATGGAAATCGGGCGCTGGGCTGGCCGCGGTGGTCCCCGTCACCGTCGCCGACGCCGAGCTGTCCTCCAGCTCGTGTCCAGGGTCGTCCCGCGGCCAGTCAGCGCCTTCAGGAGCCAGCGCGGGCCCGATCACGACGTAGGCATTGAAACCTACCCAGAAGGTCACCAGGGCCCCGAGAGCGCTGGCAGGGCACTGCGACTGCATACCCGCTGACAGCTTGAGCCCAAGCAGCGTCGGGATAGGGCTGCTTTTGTGCGGCAACCAAACAAAGCAACCATAACAAATTCGTGCAACGCACATTCATTAATTGTCAAACGGTGTTTGAAGGATTTTAGGATTTTGTTTCGTTTCGGCTTACGGACGGCCCGAGACGGCCCAAGATCGCCCCAAAAAGCCTCCAGGATGGTTCCAAAACGGCCCACGAAGCCCCCCAAACGGGTCCTGCAGGGCCCAAGACGGCCCAAGGGGCCTCCACTACACCCAAGAGAGCCACCAAGACGGCCCCGGAGCACCCCAACAGGGCCCCAAGTCCGCCCAGAGAGGCCCCCAAGACGGCTTCCGACGGGCCAGGAGCCCACC